CTTTGTGAGGAGCTCTGTGTAGCTCTGCTGCATTCAGAAGTATCAACAAAAACCTAATTTTAAAAGTTGTGCGTGCCCAATCTCCCTCGCAGTTAGTTCTCTTCACCTTCAGGGTGCTATTTAGTACACAAACCTGGAAGTAGATTCTTTTGTCTAGCTAGAAGTGATAAGCTTATATTTTAATAACATACTTAGGATGCCTCAGAAGAAAATTATCCTAAATAGTTTTGTGTGTATGTCCTTGATGAGATGTTAAAAATATAGTCATTATGGGAATGCATCCTTTTAAATCTCTTCTTAGAGTATGTATGTTCATGCTGTGAAATACCTTGTAAGAAAACACTAGTCTTTTATTCTAGTTATACGTAGAAAATACTAAAGTTCAAATCACATACTGCTTTGTCCTTTTGATTAATTGCGGTGCTTTTTAAAATCATAAATCATGTGGTCTATGTAGGAACTATCAAGAAAATCCATTAAAAAGCCAATAGAACTCTTTGTATTTGGCTTGGAGAAGAAGATCTCCAAAGGGATCTACAGAAGATGCCCTGTGTACTGGCCAAACAGCTCACCTGGCTGTTAAGCCCTTAACATTTCAGCCACGCTCACTGAATTTAACACCAAGTTCAACTAGGACTCCATAAAATTACAGGGTATGGACAATGTACAACCCCTGAGGTACCCTCTGTGTAGGCTGTGCTGTAAGTGGCGCTCCTTAGAGCTTCTAAGTACTCTGAGTTCAATGACCTATTTCTCATAGGACCTTGGTTGCTATGGTGTTGGTAATCACTTCCCACATATAACTCCTTCTCACTGCCTACCTCTGGAGATCTTTTTTGGCTATTGATTTTAGGTATCATGCAAAATGACTACTAACTATTCTTAAGGAACAGTTTGCCTAATGAAGAGGTAGAAAATGACACACACGCCCCTTAGAATTGTGTGTGTGTGCACGTGCACACACATGCGTGCATTTGTGTGCATAGTTGCCTGTGCACGTGTTTACATTTGCATGTGGAGGCAGAAGACCCCAGGGGGCGTTGCTCCTCAGGCTCTCTGTTCACCTTTATTTTGAGACAGAATCTCCTGCACATCTTCAAATTCTTAAAATATAGTGTTATTTTCTCTACATAAAACAGGAGCTATAAAAAGCTGACCCAACTCATCTTGGTGTCATCTCCAAGGCGACAGGACATCATGGGGGAAGGGAGACACTAGCTTTGTCACCATGGAGGCACTGCACTCTTCCATTCCTCCATTCATCATGTGTAATCTGAAGGACTCAGTTCTTTCTAATGGCCTTCAGATTTAACATTAAGGGCTCCAGGCCCAAAATTCAATTCTCAGTGCCACACATGTGCATGAGGAAAGAAAAACAAATAATAAAAAGAACAAAACGGAGTTACCAGTTATTTCTCAGAAATAATGAATCCTGGGATCTTTAATACTTCATTGAGCCAAGCACAGGCTGCACGGTGACTTTGAAATTAAACGTGGAAATAAATGATATATAGTTTTCATTGCTGATAAATAAATGTCACTAACCCAGAAGTAAGTCTACAGATCTTCATGTGTACCTAACTCCCATTAGTGGGAGTGACTATAAAACAGTGTAACACTCACTGCTTCAATATGACCTTATGTCTAGCCAGTTTTAAATTAAGCCATCAAATTCAGAGTGTCACACATGTTCAAAAAAAAATCTCTTATCCCAAAATTCAAAGCCCTCTTAAGCACAGTGTAAAACTACATAGACCATCCCACAGAAGTAACTATGCAGGCTAATTTCAAGAAAAGCTGTTAAAGCATGCAAGACTGACACACCAGAAGGAATTTTCTAGGCTAACTTGGCCCCCTGTGATGGCCATCCTTGTCACTGTTTTCCTCTGTGTCCTTTGAAGTACCTTTCAGGCCACTTGAGTCTGTGCTGAGCGGCTTCCAGTAGACATGCCTTTCCACGACTGCCTTCTCTTTCTGCCTTCCTGGGTAAAGCTTAATCCTTTTATGCTGCCATTCACATGGCCATGGCTCCAAGAAGCTATGGCCCTACTGGATAGAGGAAGGTGGCCTCTAGTCTTCCTTAGAGTGTAGGCTTTTTAATCCCTCCAAGTAGAACATTGCCATTAACCTAACCTCTTCCTTGCCAAATTTAGTGGTATCACAAAGTGGAAAACTTAGAGCCGAGTACCCCAGGTTTAATGGAGCCTGAAATCTTTGGGGACAGTGAGGCAGCAACGGTGGCTGAAGCCTAGCTGCTTTCTGTGAAAATTGAAAGGATGCAGGAGGGCTCCTTGCTGGGTTGGAGGCGGAGGGACAAAGGTCAAAGGTGATGCTGGTCTCCCATCTAATGGATTGCTTCATGTCCTCACCACTGTGCACGAGAGATTCTGTGTGGGAAAATTGCTTGATTCTTTTTTATGTCCCCTGTACATATTGTGCTTTTCTTTTCTCCACAATGCCCTCATTCTGTTTTTTTTAATCTACTTTTATAGATCTGGTTTCATGGCCCCATGACTACTTTATGAACAGTCTATCAGCATGCTAGAAATCTAACTCGGTAGGAATTCCAGATTCTAGATTCTCTTGATGTGTTTGCAAATACAATGTCTTTATTTTCATAATTTTCTTTTTAAAACGTTTTCAAGTGTGCGCATGTGTGTGCATAGAACTGGAGGACTTGTAGGTGGTTGTGAGCAACCTGATGTGGATGCTATTTAATGTGGTCCTCTACAAGAATAGTGCATGCTCTTACCCGCTGAGCCCTGTCTGCAGCCCCGAAGTCTTCATTGTTAAGGTCAAAGGTGTTGTTACATTTAAACACTATTGAGTCCAGTTCATTTAGTGTTCCCTATCCTACTTTTGGATCCTTTTGCGTGTTTGGTTTGTTCTAAAGAATCTCAGCTCATGCCATTTGGTGATTGGAGAGCTCAAACATCATGTGATAATGATTGACATTTTTTTTTTTTTTTGGTTTTTCGAGACAGGGTTTCTCTGTATAGCCCTGGCTATCCTGGAACTCACTCTGTAGACCAGGCTGGCCTCAAACTCAGAAATCCGCCTGCCTCTGCCTGCCAAGTGCTGGGATTAAAGGCGTGCGCCACCACCACCCGGCTAATGGTTGACATTCTTATTACTAATCTTTTCCATTCAGTACTATGGTAACTGCCTTCTTATTAGCAGCAACTTGTATTGTAGTATTTTATATCAAGCATAAACTGCCAGGTGTATATTTGATTTCAATTGGCCATAGCTGTACCACAATTAAAACAAAAAGGCTTCTGTGTAAAATGTAAAAAGTAAATATATTTTGAATATGCTATCTTCAGACTTCTTCAGGAAAAAAATAAAGTTAGATTTTTTGGAGGGCTCTTTTTTCCATCTTTTGACTACTCCTTTGCTGTGTGACCTGTCACCAGCCAGGTCTTACCATGCACGATCTGTTCTTCAGAGCCATAAATAAACACCAAGTCAATGACTTATTTGTAAAATACTTTTGAAATTTACAAGTTCACAGCCAGGAAAGAAGTAAGGTTAAACTCCAATGTCTTAAGTGTGGCTGGCTGCTATTTTAATGTTTTTCTTTGAAATATAAGTATCTATAAGGTAAATTGTCTCCACGTAGCAACTGTCACAGTGAATTTTGTTAATGGTGATAGAACTTTTGGCTCCAAGCTGGCAAGAGACTTCAGCCAAACCTCAGGATGAAGGAGGGTCTCCTTTCACTTCCCACATCCCCATAATTCTCCTTGTCCTTTTTCCTTTATGATTTATTTATTTTATGTATACGAGGACACTGTCACTATCTTCAGACATACCAGAAGAGTACATCAGACCACATTACTGATGGTTGTGAGCTACCATGTGGTTGCTGGGAATTGAACTCAGGACACCCGGAAGGGCAGTCAGTGTTCTTAAGGACTGAGCCATCTTTCCAACCCCTCTCCTTGTCCTTCAATTCTGTTTCCTTGCTGACTATTTACAGCTCTAGTTGGTGGCATGCACCTGGAAAAGTGGAGGACCTAAACGTGAGGTGGACTAAAGTCTCATGCAATTGCTAACTCTACCCAGAGCACTAGACAATTTATACTCTGAGGGTTAAGAAGAGTCACTTGAGTAAAGTGTATAGTCAAAAGGACAAACTGCACATGGCAAAATCATGTTTTTCCACAGAGGCACATGAATAACAATAGCTGAAGTAAACTCACTCCTCTCCACCACACCTGGGAGGAGCATGAAATTACATTCCAAGAACAATTCTGTGTTTTGAAGAAATTGAGGTCACAACACTGTCATGGGGTTTTATTGCTGTGAAGAGACATCGTGACCATGGCAACTCTCATAGTTCAGAGGTTCAGTCCATTATCCTCATGGTGGGAAGCATGGTGGCGTGCAGACGGACGTGGTGCTGAAGAGCTAGTGGAGAGTTCCGCATCTGGATCCACAGGCAGCAGGCAAAGAATGAGATACACTAGGCCGAGCCTGGGCTTCTGAGACCTCAAAGCTCTTCCCCAGATACTCATTTCCTCCTACAAAGCCACACCTCCTCCAACAAGGCCACACCTTGTTGTAATGTAGTGAAAAGCTGTTCATTAAGGTTAAAGTCCAAGATTGCCTCTGGACTCCTCGCAATTAGAAGACTCCCTTCATTAGCAGGGCTTCTCTTTCTCTGTGCCCTAAGCCCCCAGCTGATGACCTTTGCCTTTCCTGGTTGTTCCTACTCTCAGACTCCCAAAACATTATAAGCCTTGAATCACCCTAAGTAAAGTTGATTTGGCTCCTGCTAGCTGGTCAAGATGTCATTTATTTACCTTAAGTACTCACAAGGCTTCTGAACATCCCTCTGCCCCATCTCTGCCCACTGTGGATTGCATCAGCCAGTGACCCACAGGAGCTAGGAGACCCACAGAGTGACACTCTCTAAGGGCCCGCGGGGACCATTTCCTTTCAAGCCATCACATAAAAGTGTTCTGTCTATTATCATGGTTCTCTTTTAATTCTAGGTACAAGAAAACGCACGAAACCCTGAGCCACGCAGGGCAGAAGGCAACAGCAGCTTTCAGTAATGTGGGAACTGCCATCAGCAAGAAGTTTGGCGATATGAGGTAAATCGGCAGAAAAACACAGGAACCCTGCCAAAGGACACTGAGTATAGGGAGGTTATTCTTTCTTTAATTGGTAAAACGACATTTGTGACAGAAATACATTTTCATGTTTGGGATATTTTCTGTTTGAAGGTTGATTTAGAAGCCTGGCCCCAACCATACTCTTTCTCCTAATAAAATCAAAAGGTAGAGGGAATGAGGAGGGGTTTCAGAACAACCCAGCACATGAAGAACCTGACTGGTTTTATTAACTTTTCCCTTTGCTGTGTACAGAAAAGGCAATGCCAGGAAGAATTCATTTTGTTTCATAGTTTCAAGGTGTAGTCCCTCCTCACCAGGAAATCATGGCGACAGGAGGGGTTTGAGGCAGCTGGTTGCAAGGTATCCGTAGTCAGGAAGTAGAACAGTGCAGTGAACTTGGAAGCTCTCTTTTCAGTCCTGGAGCCACTGGCTAGTGAGTCTTCCCTCCTCAATTAATCCTGTCTAGAAACAGCCTTCTAGACGCATCCAGAGAGACACATTCCATAGTAATTCTAAATCTAATCAAATTGACAATGCATATTAAGCATCGTATCACTTAATTTAAATGATATAGGAAAGTATTCCATGGAATCTGCTCTGATAAATTATTGTAGGATACACTTTGGTATTCAACTATCTGGTATATTTTATATTGTAAAATGATACTATTTGTCTTACACTTCTGGTTCCTTTACCAGTATATCAAGATACATTAATCACTTCACCCCTTCATTTTTAATAACTGAATCATCATATAGTATACAACAGCAGTAAAAGCTTTAAGTGACTACTCTCTCAGACATGTGTCAGTTTACAGAGCAGTAAGGAGGACATGAAGATAGATTGTGAACTGTACATCCTTACTATAGAAACAGGGCTTCTATATTTACAGTGTTGTATAGGATATTTTTATTTTTTAAATTATATGTATGGGAAAGGTTCCACAATATTACTGTCATATTTGTATTATTTAGATACCTGTTGATTTATTTTTAATTTTGATGGATGTGGCTTAGGAGATCCTTCTTTAGAAATCAATTTTATTTTTCTCTTAGACTAATTTTTTTTCCTAGAAAAAAGGTTTCTCTGTGTAGCCCTGAGCGTTCTAGAACTCACTCTGTAGACCAGACTGGCCTTAAACTCAGAGATCCACCTAGCTCTGCCTCCTAAGTGCTGGGATTAAAGGCACACACCACCAATGCCCACCCCAAATTATTTTTTAAGTTGGAAAGTTTTAAGCTTATCCTTTAGAAAATTTATGTGTATATTTATGTTATAAATTTCTTAAACTATTATTTCTCTGAAGCTTTGATACCTAGAAACAACTATTCATGTCTTTGTATTTAGTTTTTTCTATCAGAGGTTGGGTTATGCTTCATATTCACGAATCATTTTAACTATTCATGTGGATAGTCAATTACAGATATGTAGGTGGACACTCACCATTGTTTTATCTTCATTTTTATTAATACCACATTATCAAAAGACATTGAAAGCCTTCAGAGGCATCATGTGATTTTGTATTATTAGTTACTTCTAATTTTATTAAGTTTAAAGTTGTATCAGTGGTATCAAACTATTTATTTGAACAAATATCTATTTGAACAAATTATCTCTTATACAAGAAAGACTCTTCTGCCCATTGTATATGAGAAAATGTATTTGGTCATGTTTATGAAGTTTGGTCTTTACATGTGCAGTTGAAATCTTTCTCTTTGAACACTAGAACCTTACACAACACTGCCAAGTAGTGTCCCTCCATCTTTATGAGTCCATATAAACATCTCTGAAGCATTTTAAAAACATGTTTTTCCAAATTGCACTTCTCCAAGATTGTGCTCAGAGGGGCTTGGGTGGAGGCTAGGAACCAGCCTCTGTACCAGGCATGTGGGAAAGTGACTGCTGCGTGTGATTGACCCATCTTCTACCTGAGTGTGTTCCCTTACGAACTGTGGAGGAGAGGAGCATGGGCTAAGGCTGGAACTCAGGAGTGGAGGGCTCACTTTGCATACATGAGGGAGATCTTGGGTTCCATCCAATGAAATTGAAGTGAGGGAAACCCAAGTAGCGGCATCACTGGGGTATTATAGAGCATGGTGTGTACTATGCATTTAAATGCTAGTTTAATCTTTACTATATGACCATCTCAAGGTGGTCCTCACATGAAGGAAATCAGGATTCATCTCTCATCTTGTTTCTCAAAGTAGTGAGGAACAAAGGCTGTTGCAAGAGTATGCTGGCATCCTCTGGTTCATACTGTAGCAGAGTATGATGACCAGTTGTCGCCTGCCTTTACTCCTGTTTTAAAGTGCTTTATTTTTGGCACATCGCCTAACTCATGTCCCAGGAGTTCCATGCTGTTCATTAATTACAACTTTATATAAAGATACACAGTTTTTAATTGTGTAGTCCCTGTTTGTACGCTAGAGTTATGTCAGTAGTAAACAATTAATGTTAAAATATACTTTACTTTAAACTTTCTGTTGTTTTCTCCCCCATAGGTTTTGGCTTCAAGTCCATGTCCCTTTTTTCTTTCTTTTTTTTTTTTTTTGATATTTTATTTACATTTCAGATGTTATCTCCTTTCCCTCTCCCTACCTACCCTGAAACCCCCTATCCCATCCCTCCTCCTCCTGCTTCTATGAGGATGTGCCCCCACCCACCCAATCCCACTTCCCCACCCTCGAATTTCCACACATTGGGGAATCCAGCCTTCTCAGGACCAAGGACCTCCTCTCCCACCTATGCCCGACAAGGCCATCCTCCCCTACATATACAGCTGGAGCCATGGGTCCCTCCCTATGTGCCCCAAGGCTGGTGGTTTAGACCCTGGGAGCTCTGGTTGGTTGGTATTGTAGCTTTCCTCATGGGGCCACAAACCCTTTAAGCTCCTTCAGTCTTCTCTCTCACTCCTCCATTGGGAACCCCATGATCTATTCAATGGTTAGCTGAGAGCATCCACCTCTGTATATGTAAGGCTCTGGCAGACCTCTAAGGACACAGCCATATCAGGTTCCTGTCAGCATGTACTTCCTGGCATCCACACTAGTGTCTACCTTTGGTGACTGCAAATGGGATGAATACCCAGGTGGAACAGTCCCTGGACAGCCCCTCCTTCAGTTTCTGTCCCATGCTTTGTCTCCATATTTGCTCCCATAAGTATTTTGTTACTCTTTCTAAGAAGGACCAAAGTACCCACACATTGGTCTTCCTTCTTCATGAGCTTCATGTGGTCTGTGAGTTGTATTTTGGGTATTGTGAGCTTTTGGGCTAATATCCACTTATCAGTGAGGGCATACCATATGTGTTCTTTTGTGATTATGTTACCTCACTCGGGATGACATTTTCTAGTTCCATCCATTTGCCTAAGAATTTCTCAAATTCATTGTTTTTAATAGCTGAGTAATACTCCATTGTGTAAATGTACCAATTTTTCTGTATCCAGTCCTCTGTTGAAGGACATCTAGATTCTTTCCAGCTTCTGGCTATTATAGATAAGGCTGCTATGAACATAGTAGAGCATGTGTCCTTGTTATATGATGAAGTATCTTCTGGGTATATGCCCAGGGGTGGTATAGCTGGGTCCTCAGGTAATGCTATGTCCAATTTTCTGAGGAATCACCAGACTTATTTCCAGCTTGCAATCCCACCAACAATGAAGGAGTGTTTCTCTTTCTCCACATCTTTGCCAGCATCTGCTATCAACTGAGTTTTTTATCTTAGTCATTCTGACTGGTGTGAGGTGGAATCTCAGGATTGCTTTGATTTGCATTTCCCTGATGACTAAAGATGCTGAACATTTCTTTAGGTGCTTCTCAGCCATTCGAATTTCCTCAGATGAGAATTCTTTGTTTAGCTCTGTACCCCATTTTTAATAGGGTTAATTGGTTGTCTCAAGTCTAATTTCTTGAGTTCTTTGTATATATTGGATATTAGCCCTCTATCAGATGTAGGATTGGTAAAGATCTTTTCCAAATCTGTTGGTTGCCATTTTGTCCTATTGACAGCGTCCTTTACCTTACAGAATCTTTGCAATGTTATGAGGTCCCATTTGTCAATTCTTGATCTTAGAGCATATGCCATTGGTGTTCTGTTCAGGAACTTTCCCCCTGTGCCCAGGTATTCGAGGTTCTTCCCCACCTTCTCTTCTGTTAGTTTCAGTGTATTTGGTTTTATGTCAAGGTCCTTTATCCACTTGGACTTGAGCTTTGTACAAGGAGATAAGAATGGATCGATTTGCATTCTTCTACATGCTGACCTCCAGTTGAACCAGCATCATTTGTTGAAAATGCTATCCTTTTTCCACTGGACAGTTTTAGCTCCTTTGTCAAAGATCAAGTGACCATAGGTGTGTGGGTTCATTTCTGGGTTTTCAATTCTATTCCACTGATCTTCCTGCCTGTCTCTGTACCAACACCATGCAGTTCTTATTACTATTGCTCTGTAGTACAGCTTGAGGTCAGGGATGGTGATTCCTCCAGAAGTTCTTTTATTGTTGAGAATAGTTCTTACTATCCTGGTTTTTTTGTTATTCCAAATGAATTTGTAAGTTGCTCTGTCTGTCTCTATGAAGAATTGAATTGGAATTTTGATGGGGATTGCATTGAATCTGTAGATTGCTTTTGGCAAGATGGCCGTTTTTACTATATTAATCCTGCCAATCCATGAGCATGGGAGATCTTTCCATCTTCTGAGATCTTCTTCAATTTTTTTCTTCAGAGACTTGAAGTTCTTGTCATACAGATCTTTCACTTGCTTGGTTAGATTCACACCAAGGTATTTTATTTTATTACTTGTGAGTATTGTGATGGGTGTCATTTTCCTAATTTATTTAAGTATGCTGTTACCCTATATCTGTATCCATTACACTATAAAATTCCTCTGTGTGTTCCAGGACCAAATTGATGACCATGGTCAGTCTTTTTCTCCACTTGCAAATAACATTAATACTATTTGCTCCACATGTATGTTAAAGTCATGTGATATCCATGAGGTGAAGTATCAACTGTTGGGATGGTTCTAACAACATTAGCATCCTTTCACAAGTTCTCAGTGAATCTGTCCAAATCATGATCCAGTGGAGACCGAATGTTCAGAGGAAGCATATGGTGGAGTCTTGCCATCAGTATATTGCTGTGGCAAAAGCAACTTGAAGAAAAATTTTAACAGAGTGTTAAACAAAAATCTTTAAGACACATTAAAAAGTCAGCACCACCAGGTGTTGTTTCTATGTCTTTGGGTCTCACCAACCACAGGTTGAAAAAGTATCCATTCATTTTTATTGAATATGTACAGAGTTTTGTACTAAGTTCTCTAAGTAACAAGGCATGGCAAATGCTATATGACTTTTACCCTGTGTTAGGTAACACATGTAATGCAAGTAATAAGTATAGAAGCTATATGCAAATACTGAGGGACTCTATCCAAAACTTGAGCATCCTGGGATATCCATATCTACTCTGGGTCCTGGGACTCTTTCCTCTCAGCATGAACAGAGAAGGCAAACTGTGTACTCAAAAGAACAGCCAATGGAGTTGCTTAAACCTTTCTTTTGGGTTCCTACAAAAGCCACAAGGGTGACGTTTGTTCACTGTCTATGCTAACTCTGCCCTATTCTTCTCTCCCATGCTGCCTGGCTGCAGGTCTCACTCTATTGGGTAAGCACACTATGTTGAGTCTGTGATGCTGTGTGAGAAGGTCTGCAGCTTCCTCCTCCCCTGCCAGTCCCTTCTACCCAATAGCTCTCAGCTCCCTTCATGCTGTGTCATGACCAGAAAAACAAGACCATTTTCTGGAACATCCATGTTAACAAGGAAGAAGCCAGTTGCTCAGCACTAAATCCACTGGTGTTCATTTAACTTGTGAATCTTCCCTACTGGTTTCATTTGCTGGATAGTCTCTTAGCATGAGATTTCTTCTGTCAGCGCCATTTCTTCCAACATTAAGAAATCAAGGTTGTTTTGTTTTTAATAAAACTTGTAGAATGTGGAGTTGAGAATCAGAGAACAATTTCCCCTATCACTGTTCTTTGAATTTAACTTTGACACACTGATGTCTGAACTTCAATTTCTACATTTTTACTAGACAATACTTACCTTAATAAGTCAGTGGTTTTCAGCCTGAGTGACAGGCTGCCCCAGTAAACCAGCTTTTATATACTTTTTAATTCAGCTTGAATTAGCTTATTTCATCAGCAGAGAAAACCCATCAACAAGAACTTCAACTTAAGCCTTTTTTCCCCCTTGGAATCACAGTATGAACTTAGTCTACCCCCACCGCACCCCACCTCTTATCCCAGATTGTGTTTAATGAGATGAGTAGATTGTTAATGCTGGATTTCCTGTAGTAGTGTGGTTTAAATGCAGTTTCTATACATGGTCTTTGGAAGGCTACAAATGCTGCCTGAGGGACTTTTGACATTTCAGTAGAAGGCTGCCCATCCCAATGGCCATAGTTGATAGCTTCTGGGATGTGGGATCCAAAACCTGTTAGCTTCTAGGACAGTGGTTTTCAAACTTCCTCAGAGTGTCGTAACCCTAAACCATAAAATTATTTTTGTTGCTACTTTATAACTGTAATTTTCCTGGTGTTTTGAATCATAATATAAATATCTGTGTTTCTGGATGTTCATAGGCTACCCTGAGAAAGGGTTGTTCCACACCAGAAAGTTGAATACCGCTGTTCTAGGGAGAAGAGAAAGCAGGATCTGCTTAAAATGTGGCTGAAGAGCAAGCCCTAGCCCAGGACAATGGAACCCAGTTTGCTTCCTCCCACTGCCTCACCTCAGTTTTGGAGAAAACTCAGTAGATAATACCACACAACGAAAGGGGAGACAATAAGTCAGCTACTCTAAGATTAAGATCCTGAAACTCTCAGGTGTGGTTATGTTTGTACCAGTTGTTCTTGACAATTAGTCTAGAATGGATGTAGAAGTCTTCCTCTAGCTGGTGTGTGTGTGTGCGTGTGCGTGTGCGTGTGTGTGTGTGTGTGTGTTGGTTGTGGGGGTGAACTGTGTTAGCCTAGCATGTGCTTCTTCAGGAGCCTTTTCTTAGCCTGGCTGTCTTTCCTGGCTGCTGCTCTTCACTCTTCCCCAGTGTGAGAAAGAAGTGGAGACCAGGGTCAGGCTGAAGGATTCCATCCTTTCCAGATTTCCTGCAGCACCCCTAGGAAAGAGAGCAGGCTTTGACCAATGCTCATCTATTTTTCCTTATGCCCTCAGAAGCTGACGGTGGCTACTTATGCCAAGGGAAAACCAATAGCATCTTGGTTGGGTGGGCAAGGAATACTTTGGATATTTAAAATGGCTGCTTGAGAACTGTTCATCCAGAGCTTTTCCACAAACCTAAATTCTGCTCTCTTCTTCTCCCCTCCCTTTGATGTGCTTTGTCCTGAAGGTCCTCCATCCGCCATTCCATAAGCATGCCTGCCATGAGGTAATGTGAAAAAAAATATTCAACATCATTTTAATGCAGAATGTACTGAAGCATTTCTTTATTTTACTTGTGGGCTCCTTCCCCATATCGCTTTATGTGAAAGGAGTTAGCTGAAGTAACATTTATGAAGTAACATTTAATAGTATGTCTCGTGTTTCTTTCCAACTATCTTCAGGAGGGAAGGTGGACACTTGCTATGGGACTTGGGTTTCTGATAGGCACTCGGCTATAAATGCAACTCTTTCTGAGACCAGAGACAAGGGCTTCACCTATATCAACCACCATTCCCTTATCACACAGTGTAAAGAATTAAAAGATGCTTTGCATGAACTTATGAGGCTAAAACATAGTTACATATATGAAGCACTAACAAGAGGTCTGTAACATTCTAAAAACATTTGCAAAATTAAATGTAAACCTAAGAGAGAAGAGAGAAAGAAAGGGAGACTCATAGGGTGGCATTTCTGTGAAAGATGTCATTAAGATTTTAAGATCAGTTGTCTGCCAAGAGTTTAACAATGACAGACCACTACAATCCTGGATAGACTACTGGTGAGAAACATGGCTTAGTGATACAGTATGATCAAAACAAAATTCCTAGTGGTAATAGTCTGTAGGCATAGATGTTCACATGGGAATGAAAAGAGGCAGGTTGTAGCATAGTTCTGCCAACAATCAATGTTACAGCCATGCTAAAACCATTTCACTGATATCCGATTGCACTGTTTTGGGGGTAGGGGGAAAAGAGCCTGAAACCAGGTTTGCTGCTTTTCCCATGATGCTCTAGCAGCCTGGGCTCCTGTCATTGTGGAATAAAGGAGCACATCAAGCCTCTAGGGCCTTCTCACACTTCATTCTGAATTTGGACACTCTTTGCTTCAGAGTGTACGTTATGATTTAGAGTCACACAGAGGGAATTCAGTTCCTAAGACCCTGGGAACCAAATTCTTCCTAGGGTCATTTGTAGAACCAAAAGTTTATAGTTGTACATGGTGTAACTAAATTTGATTAACCAGCTCTCCCTGTCCTTCAGCATGCATTCTGCTATAATTTAATTAGAGAAATGTTTATTCTTTAATGACTAAATGGAGTCTCTTCTACACTGGGGATATTTGCTCAATTAGTTGGTTGGGAAATGTAATCACTGTGTTTGGTTTTCCATATTTGGTAGAAATAAGATGGCTTTAGTTCATCTTCAAGCAAACTGTTAGCAGCTCCCATGAGGATCCCAGGCTGAGTAGTCTAACACAAGGCTTGTATTTAGCTCTTTAATTTGCTAAGCTTACATCTGGGTGTCCAAAGAAGGATCGCAAAAAACAAAGTTTCACTCTGTCAATCAGAAATCCATCTTGTGACCTAAAGATTGAGTGAAACCTCATGAACTTCCTGAAGTTAGGTTTGAGAGGAAATTAAGTTTATTAATCTACATAGACCCACAAACCTCCGTCTTACCTGCCTACCCACTGTAGGCCCACATAACTGATGGATGTCATGTAGGCAGGCTCAGCCAAATCAAGCCCAAGGAGAAAATGAAGTGCCACACTATATAATTTTGAGTCATATAAATGTAATTTCACCACAAAGCAGGGTTATTCTGAAGGATTACTCACAGGGACTTGACTAATATTTAAGTCATGAGCAAAGGTACAAAGCTGTGCCCTGCAGCCAGAATGGGGGTACATTTCTATCCATGGGGACTGACAGAGTTGCAGGAGCAACCCTACACAAAGCCAGAGACCCAGAGAATACATTTTGTACACTGGTTGCCTCTGGGCCATCCTAGAGACATGGCTCATCCCACATCTTATAGCGAAACCCAAATGTCCTATCCACACTCCCTTATCAAGGGTCTCTAAGCCATTCCTCTTATTTTATTGTCCTCTGCACTCAAGAACAAAGAAGCAGCCTATCAAATTTAATAAAATCTAATCGAAATATTTGTGGGCAAATCCAACAAAGAAAGTACCAAATGACTGAAAGCCAGAAGATGGAAGATAGATGATACAATGTTTGATTCATAAATAAAATGCCTATAAGGTAGAAAGGCTCCATCTCCTAAGAGGATGGGAGAATTATATACATATCTCACAAAGAAATGATTTAGAGGTTATGGGGGTGGGGCATCCACCATAAAACAAGGAGAACTTCAACTTTCAGAAAGGCCGCTACCTGCAATTTGCCAACATCATTATTTTCTGAGGCACAGAAAGAAAAAAACCAGGAATATTCTTTTTCTCCTTGAGCTATTTCTTGTCTGTCTTGTCTCATATTTACTGAAAAACAAACCAAAACAAAAAACCTTTAACTTTCCAAGTTGGAAATCTTATGCATGACATTTAAACAGATCTTCCATTGTTCCCTAAAACAAACAAACAAAAACTGTTATGAAGAGTTAGGAAGAAGACTGTTATGACTCCATGAAAATGACTCACGGAGGACTCTGGAGTCCTCATGAAAGTGTACTGGGTTTTCATTCATCATTTAATTTCCTAACACTATCCCCCTATATGTGAACTTACTACAGTTGGATCATCTCATGTGCTATGTTATTTATTGCACAGACAGGTATCTGATGATTTTACTTCAAAATATGCTACGCCTTTGTTTCTGGACCTACCTGAGCAGGAATGGAACACACTTTAAGACACAGTTGATACAGGTCACAAGCTGGCAGCCAGCCTGGTGCAGAAGTGATACAAGAACTAAAAACCAAACAACATGGTTACTAAGACACTGAGCCTCAAGAGCTGACCTCTCTTTTCTTATTTTAGGAATTCTCCTACTTTCAAATCATTTGAGGAGAGGGTTGAGACAACTGTTACAAGCCTCAAGGTACAGATGAAGTGAATTGTGTATGATTGGGTCCATGTCATCAGGACAGCCTAGTCATTACCACCATTAGTGCTGCAGCAAGGCAGGGCCATCACCCCTCTGTGTAGCTAGGAAGGCAGATGTACTTAAGGATAAGCCTTTCCTCCATAGAGATCTATGGGTAAGATCAGCAGCGAAGAGTATTCCTGCATCCTTAGAGTTGATTATAAACCACTCACTGATAGATTGTTCATGAAAGTGAATTGGGTTTTCATTTGCCACTTAATTTTATAACACATAACTAAATTTCTATCATAGCTCACAGATCTTCTGATTTGAACATAAGTTAGCACAAACTGTTTGCTGTGTGTCATAATGCCATCCTCTGCTGTCAACCTCCCAGACTATTTACTAAGCTTACATACTGACCACAGCACAGTGTGGTGATCAGTGCCACAAAATGCATTGTTTTCTAGTGATGTATTTGCTCTCTGGGGAGCAACTGAAATTATCCCAGTTCCATGCTGGGTGTTAAGCTTTCATAAATTGTTCATTACAGGTGCTAATCTACAGAAGGGGCAGGGGAAGAGGCAAAAGAAAAACTAGTCTTGACTTTAAAGACGTAAATGTAAAACAGGAAAACCGGTTATTACGAGAATCTTTTGGAAGATTCCACCTAAATAAATATAACATCTTATATGATTGCTATCTTGTAAGCACTCCATTCATGCATTTTACTATTACTGGGATCTACAGATCAAAATGGTAATGATTTAGCTGCCTCCAGACGCTCACATCAACCTCGTATATCTACATGGTGGAGTCTGACAGGATGTTCATTATTTCTCACCACAGGGCCCGGGTATTTTCAATGATTTAGACTTGAAGGCTCTTCCTTAAACCAGGGTCTTTCACAATGTCTACTTTCTTACGTCTGTGATCAGCTTTTGAAGGCTCCAGAATGAAATCATCATTCAGTGATTACTATGCTTCTTCACCTGTCAGCATTGTCTAGCCCTTGCCAACTCTGTCTCTTTGGGGCAATGTGTGAGGATTAGTAGGAGCCATTAATGTGTCTTGTAAAGTAGGGGCTTAAAAAAAAAAAGGCAACACAGTGTGTTGTGTATGTATCTCACTAGAGCATCTTCTATCAAAACAAAAGGCCCCATAATCCCAAGTCAGTTTCTCGACACTTGCACTTCACATCAGCTCACAAGGACAGGTTCTCTCTCTTGTTAGAGGAGTTCTGATGGAGGAGGAGTTCTAGTTTTCAGTCTCCTTTAGCAGAAGGGGATATGAAGAAGCCAAGGAAGAAATCAAGAACAACCTGCTTTCATTTGCTTTTAGGAAACAGGTAAGCTCATGGTTCCCATGTGGTCTAAGTGTCAGTGTCACATCTCAGCCCCTTACTGTTTTCCTCCTCATGGAGCCAGAAGGCATCCTGCTAGGCTCCTCCTTCAGACAGGCACATAACCATGCAGCCTGTCAGAGACCTGAAAGCAGAGTCTGTGCTTGTGCAACTGGCCATTGCTTTAGCAATACTCACACCCACATATCTGCTCTCTCACAGCCAAAGATTAGTCAGATCTTTCTGCCCGAGGGAACAGAAGAGAGCTTATCATCAGGTGTTGCAGGAAGCCTCCTACTTCATCAATAGAAACTTCCCATTCACTCCCTGCTGCTCAGACCAGATAAAGTCTCCTTTCCTTTTGCTTGCTTACTCTCTATAGCTTTTTTTTGTTCTAAATCTCCTAAGCTTCCCTATCAGTCTCTACTTATGAGCCTTGAGGCTGGTGTTTTCCCCCCCGTAGGAGGAACTAGCTCAGTAAGGAAGAATGGATGTCTCTATGTTGCGTTTCCAGGCACAACCTCCACTTTAAGCTTGGATTTTAAACCCCTGACAGAGAATCAAGATCATGCTTATGATCTAGGAAGAAAAAAATGTCCTTCTGTGAAGGACACAAGCAACTTGCCACGCACCACAGGGCATTGTTCTAAGCCAGTTTTTCTCCTATCTCCAGTTCCGTGAACCCTTTGATATTCCATGGGGAACTTTCCAGTTCGTCCTAATCATCACTTAGTGCCGCCATCATACTGGCATGTTAGTGCCACCATCATACTGGCATGTATTACTTGAGGACTCCTGGTCTCGTGTCACCTGTACAGCCAACCAGCATTCTTGCTATTCTAAGCAGGCAGATGCAGAGCTAGTGCCTACAAAAGCACATTTTGTGTATCCAACCATGTTCCGGGGACAAAGTGATGAATCCTTAGATGTAAAAACTATCATGAAAAGAGGGGTGCAAAAGAGGTTTGCTGTTTGTGTCTTTGTTCAAGCTAAGAATTAGTCTGTTACCCAAAGCATGGCAATGTGCAGGCACTAAACACAAGTTTCCTGGGTAGGAACCCTGCATCCCACTTGTTTGCCAAACTGAGTTTTTAAAAAGCACTTTTTTTATCTTACCGTGTTGATTTGAGAAAACAAACAAACAAAAAACTAGATAAAGAAAAGTCTAAAGGGAAATATCAATATTCATCTGACATTATACTAAGTGATTTCTATTATTAAACAGAAGCTAGAAGAAAATTTAAATGGGATGTGTGTGTGTTTGTGTGTGTGTGTGTGTGTTAAGACAGGGTCTATTTATGTAGCCTTGACTGTCCTAGAATTCACTATATGAGCCAACCTGGTCTTAAACTCACAGAGATTCACCTGCCTCTGCTTCCTGAATGCTGGGACTAAAGGCATGTGCTTCTAAGTCTGGTAAGAACTTAAAATTTAAAACCCCAAAGCAACTAGTACTCAACACAGTAGATTATATTAAATTAATCCTACTTATTCCTCTCAGGAAAGAAACAATACTACTATTTCAGATAGGGGGAAAGAGTTCTAGGTAAGCTTGGCCAATGTAGGGTGATAGGCCAGTCTGGGATACATAGGGAAGAGTCTGAGGAAAATAAATAAATGTATGATCTAAGCAATGTAGAAAAGTCAATATAATAACTGAACTTAAAAGGCAAAATGATTTTTATGACAGTTAAATTAAATTTCTTTTGTTTTTTGATGATCTGCTTTTAAACCCTGGTTAAGTTTTTATAAATGTCTTTTAAATTTTATTTTCTTCTATATGTGTGAATGTTTTGCCTGTATGTATGTATGTATGTATGTATGTATGTATACCACAAGTATGCCTGGTGCCCATGTTGGTCAGAAGAATGCTTCAGATCCCTTGAAACTGAGGTTACTGATGGCTGCCCTGTGGGTGATAGCATCCAAACCTGGGACCTTTGCAAGAGTAACAAGTGCTCCCAACTGCCGAGCCATCTCTCTAGTCCTGTCCAGTTAAGTTTTTAAAGGGCAGGGCAGACAGCATGGACGCCTTCCCATGCTGTGTACATGCTCGTATTACTATGGAGTCGACATTGGGTCAGCAATAGCAGTGATATCTCTTCTCTATACTTTCCTTTTCCTTGGTGTCTTCACGAATTGTGGATGCTTAAGGAAAGGCCAGTGTGAGTAATGCAGTCAGACTTGCATTACATATTCTAGAATATAAAACTTGATCTGAAGAGCTTTTTAATGAGCAGTCATTCATAATACTTAAGCACATATTTAAAATGTAAATTGACTTCTGTTTCTACTGAGTTAATAAAAAAGGACACAAAAGAGACCCATCATATAGTGTCTGAGATAGGATTGATACTGTTAAGAGACACTGTGACCATGGCAACCCTTATAAAGGATCTTATAATCGATTTAGTTGGGGATAAATGACAACTCTTATAAAGGAAAACATTTAATTGGTGGTAGCTTACAGTTTCAGAAGTTTTTAGTCAGTGACCATCATGGCAAGAAGCATGCAGGATCCAGGCAGGCATGGTGCTAGAGAAGGAGCTGAGAGGTTTACATCTTGATCCACAGGCAGCAGGAGACTGAGCCAAACTGGGCATAGAGTCTAAGAGCCCTCAGAGCCTGCCCCCACTGGCATACTTCTTCCACGCCCACTCCAACAAGGCCACACCTCCTAATAGTGCCACTCCCTGTGGGCCTATAGGGGCCATTTTCTTTCAAACCACTACATTTAGTATTCTCAGGGATTTTGTTACTTGCCTGGAAAGATGAAATTCTTACTGCTCAGGACAAAACAAAGCAACAACAAAAACCCAGACCCCTCAACAAATGGTGGGGTCAGGACTAGGCTAGAGAGATAAGTCAGTAGGCAAAGTCGTTCTTGACTTGCAGGCACTATGACCAGATTTCAGTTTCAAGAATTCCTGTTAAAAAATGCAGGGCGTAGTGATGGACAATTGTAACAATTGTAATCCCTAACTCAGGGAAGGTAGAGATGGGTAGACCCCTGAGGCTTTCTGCCCAGCCAGCCTTGCCCCTATGAAGAATTCCAGATCAAAGAAAGATTGTCTGGAAAAAAGGGGAGATGGGATCTGAGGCACAACACCTGAGGTTATCCTGTGGCCTCCTCATGAATACACACAGTATGTCCATCCACACCTGCATACAACATGTATACACGGCCACATGAAGATGCATACACACACATACAGACAAGAGAGACACTTTCAGAAATTAGGATTGGCCTCTAGTTATGTCTTAAATAGAAACCTAAGTAGAAGTCACGTAAGGATGTTTATATATTTGTAAAATTCAAAGAATTAATCTAATATCCAATTCTAATTTGATTGAATAAATTCTCTAGATGAATAGGGACAGATGTTACACACTGCAGACCTGGTTATATTCCTACAGGGATTAGAATGAGATAAAAAGAAGAATATTAAACTTGTGTGAAATTAAAGTTTGGAATCTCATCCCAGAACCAAGATGAATACTATTCTGAAACATAAAGGAAACTAACTTCACTATCTTTGTGTGCCTTTGAGGAAAAATAGTTATGTCTGAACTCAAAAGAAATTAAACTTTTGGCACTCTTATTTTAAAAACAGTTGCAAAAATGATAATGAAAAGCTAACTGGATTTTTATCTACTTGCCCATTTCAGACGAAAGTAGGCGGGACAACCCACAGTGGTGGCAGTTTTGAGGAGGTCCTGAACTCCACAGCACATGCCAGCTCCCAGAATGCTACAGCAGGCCCCCGGCAGACCAAGGATGAGGAGCTACAGTGCTAGGTCCAGCCTGGGCTGCTGCCAGTCAATCTGCCTGCTCATCCCCTGATTTGAAGACCAAAATCCCACTGGGAATCCCAAGTGTTGATATTGTTATTTAAATGGGGTCTCCGAAAAGTTTAATAAAATTATTTCCACTTGCATTTGTGTTGATGATGGACCACTTGACCATTACTCTGGAGTATTTACAAATGGCGTATTTTAAAATAGACAACCTGGAGCAGGGTCATAATTGGTCCTAATTCTTGTCTGTGTAACTCAAATGTATATTTCCCAAACATGCAGCTACTAATTATTAGCTTACGTTTTGGCTTGGTCTCTGTACTGATGTGCATGTCTCAGAGTGCTGAGTGACAGCCTGACAGTCTGTAGATCAACAGGTGGCACTATTTATGACTGCCTCCAGCAGTGGGTCAAGTCACTACAAACTTCACCAAATTGCTTGTGATCTCTCCACGTACATCAATTATGTACATTTATTTAAGTCATTAAAATAATTCATCTTAACGGTAACTGGATCTTTTATTTCTTTGGGTAGCTGGGGCTACCTATTGATGACTTAATGTTGGTAGCAATGATTCTATTGGGAGTACATTTAAATCAATTTCTAACCCAATGAACAGGATAGATATAAGTTAGATATAAGTTATAAGACCAATTATCATTTAAGGAGGCTGAAATAGCCTGACTCTAAAATTCTCCCGGACTGCCTAGGACATTGGATACGCAGGTAAGGAATATCTGAGAAGAGAACCACAGGAGAGGCTGGGTTAGAACAAATTTTCAATTTATATGTTGATCACATGTATAAAACTACACCAAGCTTCCAGCAGCCACTTTTAGCTTTTACATTATATACTTCTCTTTTCTCACAGTGGTAACCTGATTGTTGTTTGACATCAGAGCTAAAAGCAGTGACATATTTTAAAAATATACCAATAGACCTATTAATGAAAACAATTCACAATAATAATAATAAAAGCATGCAATGGACTGGAGATGTAAGTCCAAGAGTTGGTACAGTGCTTATCAACTATGGACAAAGTGCTGGGTTTCATCCCCCAACACTGAATAAACCAGGGACTGTAGCCCACACCTGCAATCCTAGGCCCCAAGAAGTGAAGACAGGAAAACCAGAAGTTCGAAGCCAACTTCAGCTACATAGTGAGTTCAAGGCTACCCTGAAAGTCTTCTCTTCCCATTGACGTAGCATAGCAATCTATCCAAACCATAGATACAATTGAAAATGAAGCTGGTTCAAGGTCACATGACCTGCTGAGGAACACTGGCATAGGGAACTGGGCTGTCTACTTGATCCACAGTGGGCAGGTTACACACCCAGCACTTCTGGCAGGGGCACCCACACTCTCGGGCAGGAAGCCAGCTGTATCTAGCTGCCATGAAGGCAGTGCCAACTCTCCAGCCACAGAATGATGGACGCAGTCTTCCACACTCAATTTCCGGCTGCCAGTGAATTCCAAGTGTTCAGCTTCTGTGACTCTCTGCTTTCTTTTTCAAAACCACATCTGGCACACTGAACTGTAACAGACAAAGCATTCTCATACCATAAGCAAGTACCTTCATCCACCAACTTCTGTCGTCTTACCCTTACAATCTGAAAACATAGTATTTAAAACTGCATAGAAAAATGTCCAAAAACTTAATACATTAATACCTCAAAGTTTCTAATACATGGACCACAGCACTTAATGTATTCATCAAAATTCTAAGTTTACCAATTTTGTTAATAAACCATATTCACTCCAGAACTCAAGAAGTGGAGATGGGAGGAGAGAGAGTTCAAGGTCATCCTTGCCCTATATTGTGAGTTTGAGGCTAGCCAGGGATACACGAGACTCAGTCTCAAAACAAAAACCAAAGCAAAATAAAACACTCCGCTATGCTCATATCTGCAACAACTCTATTAAGCTAATGCTGCTTATTCCTTCTAACCTGGGAGCGACATTTTCCAATGAATTGTATGAGCATCCTTGCATACTGTCATGCCCATGAGCAAGTTATAGCATTTGGATCAGAATACCATACCCGGCATTTGTAGGTGGGTGGTCTTAATGAGATGTGCTATCCAGCCTCTAGAGCTCCATACTTCCCCAAGAGCACCCTCAAGTAGGATTAGCCTATTTCTATCTGGCTTTGCATGTATAAATTCACCTTGATCGGGAAGCCTGCTGAGTGTTTCAGTAATGCCCAGCTGGGCTCACTCACAAGCATTAAAATCTTTTGACAAGTACTAAAGATTTATACACAATGACAGAACCTTTTACTAACAAGTTGAAATGATCCCATGTCAACATGACACACAAGGGAGAATACCTAAACCAAAATGTATTTCAGTCACCACAAAATCTGTGCAAAGGGCATAGGGGAGGTGAGATGGCACACTTGCTACAGTGCGGTCAGAGGCACTTATTGGAGTTGGTTCCATGTAGGGCCTTAGGGATTGAACTCATGTCATTAGGCTTGGCAGCAGGCTCTTTTACCCACTGAGCTATCCTGCTGCCCTTTGTTGTACTTTTGATTCATATGGTAGTGGGTTTGGCTCCTATCAAAAGAAAAAAAAACTAACCACAAATGTCTTAGCCTGTCCTCTGTTGATGAAACAAATATCTGAGGCGGAGTTCTTTATAAGGAAAAAAATAGGTCTATTTTATCTCCTAACTTTGCAAGTTCAGGAATATCTCTTTAGTTCTGGAGATGGCCTTGTGGCTGGTAAGAGAAGCTGTCACACAGTGACCACACAGTGATCATACAGTGATCATACAGTGATCACACAGTGAGACACAAAATGAGAGAATGAGGGACCAGGCTCTTTCATAACTTCTCGACAAACAACTCATTCCCCTAAAAGTAGCATTAATAACACTCTCATGACATAAGTAACTTGCATTAAATTCCAAATCTAAAGGTTTCACACCGAGAACCAGGCTTCCAGCATTGAAACCTGGACACACACCTTATTGAACCCAGCTCTCTAGATCCCGAGCCTAGAGACATTGTACCAAGCCCAGGCTCCTGATAATTGAACCACGCACGCGCACACACAAAACCCATCTCTTACCCAAGCTCCCATCATTTGAACCTGGGCAATCAGCAGCCTGAATACACAAATACCCAGCAGCATCAGCAAGTCCCCCATAAAGATCATTGCTCCCCACTTTTAAACTGTAAAATTATATTCATAAAAATCCTGAGTCCAAAGGACTGCCTCCTCATAACGTATGCCCTTCAGCAGTCACTGGCCTCAGAACACAAATCACCCACCAGGCTTTGAGACAAACTGACATTTTCCAAGCACAAGGCCACAGAGGATGATGTCACAGCTGGAGAAATGCCAAGCCACAAGGCAAACAGTGGTGAAAAAAATATTTTTTTGTTAAATTCAACCCGAGAATAATTATTTACTGTGCATCATAATTACAGAAGACAAATCTGGCTAAGCAAGCAGCAAGAAACCCCTCCACCCCAGGAGAAAAGTAATATTTTAAGCAAAAATGTTCCAATATTTGTAGACATTGTTGATGGATTCAACAGTTATCTTTTCTTATTGAGTTATAGTGTGGTTTTATTACATTTTTACTCAAAGTACTATCACATTTATTTCTTGATCAGAAATAAAGTTTAAAGTCTCCTTGTGAACTGCCATTGGGGAGGAAAGTGAAAACCTGAGAGAACAATGAAGCGGAGTGAGGGTCTAAGCCAGCAGAGGCTGCCAATGCCTCCAAATGGTCCTAACTGGTCATCCTAACTGCTCACGAAAAAAACACAGCAGGAGGACACTGAAAACCAAAGCCCAGGGCCATGAAGAAGCTTCTAGTTACAATCGCTTGAATTGGATCTGCAATTAGTTTGTGTAAAATTTCAACCCAACTGAAAAGGCTCCACAACACTAATAGGGAGAATTGTCTCTACTAATCAAACCTTCAAAAATAGTGTTTTTACATTCCTTACTTTTCCATTCAGTAAATATTCATACACATGAGTTACTTTTGAAGAGCTCATGGATCTTGCTTCCTGCAGACTGGGTATCCATGGATACTGCAAAAAGTTTCTGGAGAAACACTGCTTAGAATGTTCCATACCAGCCTTAAAGGGGCAGGGCTCATCACTCCATACTGAATTACCTACCAGGAAGGCTTGCATGGATGGCCATCCCTTCCACACTTTTCAAAGGCACGTGAAATGGATTATTATTCCCACCAAAGAGAAGTAGGAGGGAGACATGAAGTTGGTAGATACCTACCTTTGATGCAAATACTCCAGTAACACTCTTTATCAACACTCATGATTGTTATTATAATCAAGACATTAAATCTGAGAGGAAAAAACTAAAGGGGAAAACACATGGTGTTGGAAATATTATGCCCCAATTTACATCAAAGCACTGGGAAAGAGGGCAAGCCTGTTAGCAGGCTTAGAAATCTACAGTCGGGAGCCTGAAGCAGCACACAATAAAATTCAAAATCTGGCTCTAGCTGGGCACAGTAAGGACAGGATCTAGGGTGGTCTGGACCAGCCAGAGTGAAACCAGCAACAAAAGTTAGCCTCGAGAAAGTGACTGTGTGGTAAGAGCATCTCACCTGGGTGACACAACACAGGATTAACACTGCTGCTGCACCTGAAAAAGAATCAGGTCTTAGAAGTAATTATAATGAAAAATTCTAACTTCCAATTAATCTGCCCTTCAAAGACAACCTACCAAGCCTGAGTAAAAGAACTGAAGAAATCCGAAACAGAAGCCAACGTCTGGAGTGTTTAATTTTTTTTTTAATTCACACAAAAAGGCATTCTCCTCTCCAGTCTTCATCCATGGCAGCATCTTCCTGACCACTTCTGGTTCGGTGGCTTCTTTTAGGGCCTGGATTACATCACATTTCTTGTTCAAGTCCAGACAATGGAAAACAGACTCTCATCTTAAGGAAACCCCCAGGAAACAAAGAAAGAAAGCAGCACTGTGGAGGAGCAAGGTGACCCCAGGAGCCTGGCTACTCTGAGGCTGTGTCCATCAGGAGCTCGGCTCCGCCAAGGCTGTGGCCATGCTGGCATTTCTCTCTGCCTCCAGCTCAGAAACAAGCTGGACTATCTCAGGATGACTGAATTTTCCTGGGGAGGAAAAAGACATTTC